TATAAATACCCTGTAAAAAACCTTTAAAATACCTTGTAAATTTTTCGCGCCAAAAATTTAACCCCAAAAAAATTGCGGAATCACTTTTCCCGCAAAAAAAAATTTTTGGCGGGAAAATTTTTTGGCGGGAAAAAAAATTACGGGAAAATTTTATAAGGTATTTTAAAGGTTTTACAAGTTTTTACAAGTGTTTTGGCGGGAAAAATTGTGGGATCACTTTTCCCGCCAAAAAATATTTTGTATTTTGTGAACCTAATTTTGTTATATTTCCTTATATATTTGTAATGTCTTTTATTAAAAGAAGGGTAATTTAGTCATTTTGTACATAAAAATGGGTATTTTTAAAAATGGACAGCCAAAGGGGGCGTTTTTGAAAAGGGGTATTGAAAAAGGGGTATTTTTGTGAGTCTCCCAAGTAAATAATACACTATTGTTAATTATATATATGCATTATAACTTTTAAAGTTTAAATACTACATATGCAGTATCCCTTATAATTTTAAGTTAAATTAATTAACTAATTTTTAATGCACACATATGTTTTATATGAAATTAATTTAACTAAATTTTTAAAAGTGTCACTTAATTAAATTATACATGTTCATTATAGGTTTAAGTTAATTAACAAATTTTTAATGAACACATATATTTTTTATGGAACTAGTTTAGTCTTTATTACATTAAAATTTTAAAGTTAGAATAGTTATAATGTATATATATAATTTACATTGATATATTATATAGTTTTATTTAACTTATTAGTTTTTTAAAAAATTGATGAAAATATTTCATGTAGTTGACAAAAAAAAGAAATACTTCGTGTAGTTAACAAGACATTTATATTATTTGGAAATGATGGTTATGGTGTTGCACACATAACCGATGATAGTTCGGGGATGTCCATATGTAATACTAATAGTTCGTGTAGTTAGCGAAACATTAAAATAGTCTGCATATATGGTGATGTGTTGGCGTATAGTTCGTGTAGCTGACAATGATTTTTCCATAATAAAAAGGTATAAGAAAAGTTTTTTTAGTTGAGTTGGAATTTTAGTAAACATTGGGCCGAGAATCAAGTTAGTTCAAATGTAGTAGGCCGTCCAACTATTCTATGTTCATTACCTCTTCATAAATATTAGAGATCCATTGAAAAGATTTGGACCATGGTAGGTGGGTTTATAGATTGAGTTGTTTAAGATCCATTACTCAATTAGACCCAATCTCAGAAAGTTGTAACATTTACATGCGAACTTTTTTTTTTTGACAGCACATGTGAACTTTTATCTACTACTGATTTGATACTCCAATTTACTGACGTTTTTTCATGCCTTGCTTGAATAGTCTACTTCTCGCCAAATCGATACCTTATCCTTATGCGTTCTAAGTTCAAGTCAACCGTATTAAGGCTTTTTTTTATTAGCATTAGTGACAAAAGGAGACAAAATAACATTCAACACCTTTTAAAAACTTAACAGCAACAATTAAAAATGAAACACTAATAATAGTTGAGAAGTATTGTCAACAAAAAGGAAGGAAACTATTTTGTTGGACAACAAAGGGAAGAGGTTAAGCACTTAAGTAACATTAATAGAGAATTAATTGCTGCTCATAACTCTTAATAACAGCTAGTACTGACGATGTAACTCCGGTTAGGTATTGTGATCATTTGGCCCGGTCCTGGATTTTATCAAATCCCATCTCGGTTGGGTCGGTGGCTTGAAGCTCGTAGTGAACGCCGTCCAACACTCTTCTCAGTCCGCTCTTCGACGTCGCGTACATCATCTTCTCCCTTATCCTTGAAGCCTCCGGTGACCTATTCCAACAACAATCAAATTATATTGAATCAGTTTACCGGATTGGTTTTCTTCGGTACGGTGTGGATCAAACCGGCTTGGGCTAAAAAGACAGGCCTTAGTAGGCCTGAGCAAAATACCCGGAACCGAATACCCGAACCGAAAAACCTGAAAAATACCCGAACCGAACCCGAACCCGATTTTAAAAAATATCCAAATGGGTCCTAACTTCCTACCCGAAAAAAACCTGAACCGAACCCGAACCGAATCCAATACCCGAATGTACCCGAATACAAATATACACCTAAAAATATTAGTTATATTTATATTTATAATACTCGAAATACCTAAAATTACAATCATAAATCCGAATATATTAGGTATTTTTGAGTAATTCGGATATATTTGGATATATTTGGTTAAAAAGTAACTAATGATGTAGTTTTCTTTTGGATAATTTTAGTATTTTTAGATATATTTGGTAAAGAGTAACCAATGTATTTTGGAGAAATCGGGTATTTCGGTTAGATTTGGGTATATATGAGTTAAAAACCCGAACCCGACCCGAACCCGAAAATATTTCGGGTATTTTTGGTTATTTTCGGGTATTTTGCTTTTTTATTAAAATACCTGAACCGACCCGAACCCGAACCGAACCCGAATCGAATTTTTAAAATACCCGAATGGGTCTTGACCCCCTATCCAAATAAACCCGATATCCGAAAAAAAAGAACCGAACCCGAACGGGTACCCGAATGCCCAGGGCCTAGGACATCCAAGGACAAGATGGTAATCTAACTCTTACAAAATGACCATTTTACCCTTTGATGATCATCGTGAGAGACGATAGAATTATATGATGGAAAAAGGGTAAATCAGACAGTTTGTGAACTCTAAAAGACAAGAGTAGTGACACTAACCAGGTTATGAAGAAGATCTTGCTCATACGACAGTTATCGACGGTCACGTAATCGAAATCAAACACGGCGTAGCGACAGTCGTCCTCCGGCAAAGAAGCAGCGAGATCGTCATAGCTCTCGCCGGCGGCACCGACCTTGTCGACGGTGACTTTCCGAGACTTCTCCTCGATTTTGTAAACGACGTATCTATGCACTTTCTTCCATTTCATCTCCATGAACGATTTCTTGCAATCATCCGTCATCCACATACCACTCGTCGCCTACATATACCAACCATCCAAAATATTTTCGATTAGCTTCATAAATCAAAAATGGAAAAATAATATATTGTTAATATATATGATGTTACCGTCTTTAAAGCCATAGTGAGCTAAGATGATGTCTTCTTCTTCTTTCGTTAATATTTTGAGTGTAGAGAGCTTTTCTTTTGCTGTGTGGTGTTGAGGAGATCAGTGTAGTTTGGGGGATTTATATAAAGAATTGCTTAAATAATTGCCATTGAGTTTCTTAATTATTACAAATTTACCACCCCCTGAAACAGAAATTTGATGTATATAAAACTTTTAACTTCAAGTATATATATATATTATTTTAATTAATTTTTAGAGCCTTTTTTAGTGGTTATAGTTAAAAACACCCATATTTAGTTCTTTTTTATTCAGTCAAAAACAGCCATAAAAAGTACTAGTACTAACTATTTCTTTTAAATTTGAATTGTGTGGGGAATACCAAAGTAACTACTGAATGCTGTTAATTAATGTTTCCAGTGACTATAATGATAAAAAAACAACTTGGGATGGAAAACTTATCATTACATATATGTTCAGAACTGGGGAAATCACCAATTAAAACTATATTAAGTGTTTTTAAAATATTTTTCTTCTTTACCAAATTAACAGTTTCAATTTGCTAGCTGTGTTTTCTTTCCCGTGCGTGTACCAATGAAATAATTACACTTGCTCTGTTCTATTCACATATATTTTTAAAATAGATAACATTCAATACTACTATATGTGTATTATTTTTATTTCCTAATCTTGAATTTATTTTATTCAGAAAAAGGTTAAATATTGCCATCAAACTTGCAAAATATCATTTAGTAAATTACTAGCATATACTCCGTATTGCTCAAGACATTAAAATATAGGCGAAAAGTTCAAACTATTATCCTGTATGCTGTAGTACTTGCACCAAAAGAAATCTAAAAAGGTTTGAGATTTCTTTTAAACCTTAACATATTTTAACAAAGAATAGTAAACCTCAAAAGTTAACAACATTTAATCGAAGAAAAAAACACATATATAGTTGATTTACCACTTGGTTTAACGAATGTTTTCATGTTCTTATTACTTATTAGTCTCTTCGATTAGACAATGCTACGAAATCGAAAAAATATCATGGAGCATTTGACATCGTTTTCGAATTTAATATCTTTTTGGAGCGCCTAACCAAGAAAACATACGGTTTAATTAAACTCATTACTAAACCATGCAAGTCACCATCCTATTTACCGTTTTAATTTTTGTTCTTCTTCAGATTAACTATTATATATGCTGAGTTTAGAGAAGATTTAGCGAATATGAAATTGGGAGTTGCAGAAGATGAATCCGTCCTAACAATGAAGTGGCAACGTTATTACTAATGAAGATGATTAAATAAGAATTGGAAATTGATCAAAAGTAGTAAAAAAACAAAAAAAGGACGCGAGGAATCGAGTGAAGCTGGTCCCAAGTAGTAGGATTGGATCCAATGCCTACATTCTCATTGATCTCTCCAATCTTGTGTTACTCAAAACTCAAGCGACCCTTTGCGTGGAAGCTAAGGAATGAAACACAAGATAATTTCTTATGATATTTTCTTTTTGGCTTAAGCAATAATTATAAACTTCTTTTAAAGTTCCGAAAGGAAAAATTCAAGTGTTTTTTGGAACTCAAGTCTCTGATTTTCACTTTCTTTTAATGGCGCATCAGATGTGAGAGTAAGCTCGAATTGATACTTCTACTGATTAGAAAGTGTTGGAGTTGGAAAAGGAAGAAGAACAAATTCATATATGTGGCGATTCTTGAATCAATCCAAAAGTCAACGTAAACAACAAACCCTATAGGGTTTATGGTTAGTCCAATTCACATTCTTTTCAATTGAATATTAGCTGTAATATATATTTGTTGGTGTCGGTTAATAAAGGGTTCACAGAATATAACCCAAAAGATACGTTGTTGAAAGCCGCTACACAATTCCAAGAAGAATTTTGCAATCCCAAAAACATTAGCCTTCCCATGAAATTGTCTAGTGCATGTATAGTTTCAGTTGAGCAATTCACACCATTAATTGTATCATGCCATACGTCTGCATGCATATTATATGTTTTGTTTAACGAAGTTAGATATAAGATAGATTATGATGATATGCACATGAACATGAGTTTGCATGGACCCCTACCTGTCGTTATTCGGGTGCAATTAAAAAAGGCCCAAACACTAAAATCTAAAGCTATATGGAAAAATTATGGGCGCATATAATGTAATGTTTTTAGTCTATCTATAAACTCAATGTGAAATAATTGACTAGTGGTTTATAAATAGTAATCAAGGAAGAGATTGAGGGGACACGACCATATGTCTGTATATATTTGTGGATAACAATAGCCCATGCACGAATTTGATGAGGTGTAAGTAAGATAATACCATTAGCAAGTGTCGATATGTCTTATGATTTGTAATTGATTAATTTCTCTTTTGTAGTTTGTTATTGGGAGGATTTGTTTGTACATTTGGTGGCTTGTCTTCTAAAGTTAGTTGTTCAATAGTTAGGCTTTGACTTGTTCTTAATACTTGTGTTCGTTTCTTCTTTGGATTCATCTCTTTTATCACACCATCAAATCATTTTCATTCATTTTTTTGTTTTGTTTCAATAGTGTCATTCGATATATCGAGAATCCAAACCTTAAACTTAACCCAACCATAAACGCATTAGGAACGTTTTTTTTTTCTAATCAATGAAATTCAATTTTTTTTTCAGAAAGATTAATTTCGGAAAAAACGAGTAGAGGAATAGTAAGACTAAGAACTAGTTGGCAAATTGTTTTAATAGTTTTGGTCGTTTATGTTATGTCAGAATTGTATCAAATTCATATGTAAGAGGTGAAAATAATGATATAGTGTCTACAATAATTCAACTCATCATCGATATCAGATATATCTACATAACTGTAGTAGACTGAACTAAAAATCATATCAATAAAGTCTAGAAAAACTTTTTAAGTGAAAAGCTACAGATGCTTCCTTTAAACACTAACTACATTGGCATTGTGTTCAGAATTCAGATCATCACATGTGCAAAACTATAAATAGAAAGAAAAAACAGAGACAGAGAATCTCACAGGAACAGAACTAGATTTGTAGTGATGTGTATCTTAGGTTGTCTTGGTCATCTCTCTTCGTCCCATTTGTCTTTAGGGATCTCCCCAGAATCAGCAATCACAACTTTCTTCCTGGGTTTGCCACTGTAAGTTCCAGCTCCACCTTCAATGGCGAATACATTGTCCATTCCTTGTATCACCTTTCCAAACACCACATGTTCTCCTTCCAACCTGCACCACAGTTTTCACAATCTATCAAATTTTAATTTTTACAAATACAACACTGACATCCACAAGAATATCTCATGTGTTTTGAATTCACATGTTATACTATTGAGTACAATTCGAATGCACAATCTTGTCCAAACTGCATCTAAGTTGGATCCCTCGAGGATAATAAAAATTGAGTGCGTCTGCCTTAAATTTGGAGTTCTTGATCTCATTGTTAATAAAGTGAGGGTATGAGGGTTATTATGAGAGTAGAGCTTACCAGCTAGCCTTAACAGTAGTTATAAAGAACTGCGAGCCATTAGAATCCGGTCCTGTATTAGCCATCGCTACAACACCTGCACATACAAATTCATTTTCCGGAACAGTTCTTCAAATTTCATAAGTTGGTAGAGAATATATGCGCACCTGCGTGTGAATGCTTTATCTTGAAATTTTCGTCAGGAAAGGTACCACCATAGATTGACTCACTACTTTTTCCATCACCATGGATAATGTCTCCTCCTTGGATTACAAATCCCGATATTATACGATGAAATGGTGTTCCCTTATAATGTAAAGGCTTTCCGCTTGAGGTCTTCCCCTTCTCTCCTGTGCATAAAGCCCTAAAATTTTCTGCAAAAATCAAAATCTAACATTAGAAACTATTTAAAACAATTAACCAAATCCAGAGATTTGCATTCAAGATGCCAAAGACATACCTACAGTTTTGGGTACAACAGTGCCATATAGTCCGATAACAATCCTGCCTGCAGTTTTGAATCACAAAAAGCGAAATCAACAGAAGTTGATGGAAGCAAATGGCAAAGAATAGATCCTAAGAACATATTATTAAAGAAAAGTTTGACTTCAAGAAAACTAAAGAAGGAATCTTTTATGTCAGACCATTTACCTAAGCGTTGGCCATCAATATCAACATCGAGAAAAACCCTGTTGGTGATTTCGTGATCTTCGGTTACTTGCTTCTCTTCATCCTAAGTAACAAAAGAGGAAGCAAATCAGGCACAACATCCACAAGGCATACTACACTCTGCTCCTCCTCTATTGAACCTAACTCACACTAACCAAGCAACCAAATGTTCAACAAAGAGAAGAAACCTAACAAATATGACAGACCCGGAAAATAGAAAGCTAAACCAAGTTCAACAATGTTATCCTGACACAATAATCAAAACACAACGAACCAACATTTCACACTCTATAAGCTCCTCCTATAAACTCGCTTAAACACTTCAATGTACTTGGAGATAGAATGTTGATTTGAATCCAAGAGAGACTAATCATAACCAAATCCAGAAAAGCACTAATAAGAAAGCAACTCCACAAAAGGGTTCAACAGAATCAGATCTTCTGGAGATACACAAGAATTTGAGATCCACATGAAAACGGGTCGGAGAAAAAGAGCCTACTTTTCCGGAGTTGAAGAGCGCGAAGACGAGGAAAATCGTTAGGGCAACGAGGAGAAGAAGACACCTGGGCTGTAGCAAAAACGAGATCTCTCTACGCATCTTTCGTTCTTCTTCTTCCTTGTTATGAATTCATCTCACACGCCAACAAACACCAGAACTCGATCTCAAAAAAAGAATGGGAAAAAGTCAGAAACTTCGACTCGGGTTAGATCTCTCTCTCTCTCTGTGTCTCTTTCTCTCTAGTTCTATGCAATCGAATTCACTGAAAAGCTTGTGACCAGCGACTCTGTAGAAATTGGGGATTTGTGCAATCAAAGTTAACTCACAGTCGAAATCGATCTCAATTGCAGTGTGTTTCTTCAGTTCTTCGTCCAAGCTGATTTGTCTTTTGTGATATGATAATGGGCCTAAATAACGACTAATGGGCCCAACATATGCATGAAATTGGCAAATATATTTGGTTATAAACTGTTTGAAAAAACTTATGATTTACAAACAAAAGAGAGTTGGCCTTTCTCAATCAATATATAACCAAAATATTATTTATACAATAATGTACCAAGAGTTAATAGCTGAATATGATATCTTTGTGGCATGTAACTTTAACCACTAGAACAGTACTCCCTCTGTTCCTAAAAGGTTGATGTTTTAGCTTTTGTTGTTGTTCCACAAAGGTTGATTTTCTAGCAATTTTATTTTATTTTTATTGACTTATAATAGTAAATTGTAAACTTCAAGATACAATGATTATAAATCATTAACTTTCTTAGACTACTATTGGTTGATAATTATTAAAAAATATTTAAAATTAAAAAACAATGTTAAAATGATCAAAGAATGATTGAGTTCTTAATATGTGTGACAACTCCAAAAAATCAAACAATTAGGAACAGAGGGAGTACTATTTTTTGGAAATTTCTATTGGTTTGTATCTTGCAATTGACCGATTGGTAGGGCATATCTAAACTTTTTTTTTTTTTTTTTCAATATTAGTGTTTCTAAATTTGCTCTCATTTCTTTATTTAGTTATACACTTATACTCATCATGTTGATATCTTTTAGGTCTCTATTCGGCTTTGATCTAAAGAAACAAATATCTGATATTTATTGCTTTCTTAGTTTTCCTATTTTGTCGGCAAAATAATTATGTTGGTAGCTCAGGTCTCTGGTTCAAATGTAAACTAAACTGACCACTCGTGTGGTTGATAGGTGAGATATTTTTTTAGATGAATTTTTTTTTTTTGGCAGAAGATGATTGATTGTTTTATTTCACTATAACTTACTGAGAAACAAATCTTGAGGCATAAAATTGGACTTCGCAAAATTACAAATTGATGTGAGTGGCAAATGGCAATTTAGAGACGACTTAAAGGCTGCCACTTAATTATGAGTCCTTTTTTTTTTTAAGTGGGACTTTCAATTTTAGCGTTGTTCTATAATCACGAAGTGTCATGGCTACTGGTGCCGTTTATCTTAATATTTCATGTTCAGGAATGAATTTGAGTATCAAGAACATTGCATATACCCTATGTGTTATAGATTATTTGTAACCATCCCAGAACTCATTAATTAAAAATCAAACTGTATTTGGATCCATCCCAAAAACTCATTGATGAAGAAATTAATTAAAGAGTGAATTTCAAAGTAATCAAGAGACATGTTTACCCCACTTTTAATTAAAGTGATAGTTACTCATATCTTTATGTTGTTTGCTACTTGATGTTATCTTTTTATTTTATTAAATCTTTCTGTCCTTCATTCACAACCGTTGGATCCACATTTTTTTTTAATTAATGATCATTATATTATGGAGTCGTTTTACGGGAATCCTACAACATTAACATACAAATGTCTTTTGTGATAACATACAAATAATTTGTTTTTCTAAAACAAAACAAAAAAATATCTGTTGTGATAAGCAAATTGTGAACTTGTGATAACCTCGCCCACAAATCATATCACTTATTCGACAATTGTCATAACTTTGCCCACAATATTAATGCACTAGCTGATAGAAAGATGCATGTCCATATCACTCACTTACTGTATAAAATCCCGGATCGGCCCCATCAAATATCCATCGCTCTTATCATAAACCACAACTGCCAAGTGGTTTTAAATTGTTTCTCACCGACGTTCAGTTTTTTGTTATCTTTTGTGTACTGATCTGATCAGTGATCATATAAACCCGACGGAATCGAATAACATAGATACCTCAACCTAATTCTGCAATGCAAATCCATTTGTGAATAACTCATTTTTATTACGGTGAAGGAAATAATGGTTTTAGAGATAAAACCTTTTATTTCCAAATTGGTTTTTCATGCGTGATTAAATAAAAATTTGACTTTTGAATTTGTATCATAGGATTGAGTCATTAGGGTAACGTATGAATTTTCTTGAATTAAATTATTACACATTATTTTTGCCAAAGAAAAAAGAAAAAAGAAAAAAATGCTTGCATATATAAAAATAAAGAGGCGGCTAAGGATAGATAACATGACTAGCATCGCTATATACATCACATAGTTTTACATTTTTTTCTTAAAAAGAAATGATTTCCAGCTATATTTTGATCCAGCAAAGCCGTTTTTTCTTAAAAAGAAATGATTTCCAGCTATATTTTGATCCAGCAAAGCCGTTTTTTCTTAAAAAGAAATGATTTCCAGCTATATTTTGATCCAGCAAAGCCGTCAGGCGTCGTCGAGTAACGAGGAGGATAAAAACCAAAAGAACTGAAATTCCTTCTCAGATCAATAGCACTACGTTTACGTATTAAAACATAATGTTTATGCTACATAAACATATAGTATAAAATTGGCACATCCGAATGACTATTTTCAAGTATTCAATTGTGGTGAGCGAGAAAGAGTTTTCATTTGAGATATCATGAGATACTTATGAGAGACTTTTAAGACACTGTCTTATTTTGAACGCTTTAATTTCCTTTTCCAAACTAAATTTATTCATAGAATCAAATGATATTATTTTTTATTTTATTTTTTTGAAAACCTCAAACGGTATCTCATGAATGGAGGTGTTCTTACGAAACTAAACCGCTGAATAACTAAAATATTAAACCATCTTTATCAGAACATGCGACTAATCTACAAAATTGTCAGTGTTGCTAGCTATAAATGTTCCGTACGTACAAGCTACAAAGAAAGAAATACAAGGCTTAGCAGATGTGAAACGTACGTTAGAGTTGTACACGACAAGTTTTCATCCAAATAGAAAGTAACATTTTTGTGTAAATTATTTGACAAAGCCAACAAAATCTTTTTGTAATGTGAACTGGAGCAGTATATATTATATATTATTCTAAATATAGAATGTTGTGCAGCTTGATTCTTGTCATTTTGTTTGGTGCTAGACTGCTAGTGTGCTACGCAAAACCGAGTTGGAAGCTTCTAGCAAATATAATGAGCCGCAGTACTAGCTAGTCCCACTTTTGAATTTCCAATTTTAGATCCGAATATCCACTGCCGTAGTTCGTTCGATACTTTCACCCATTTCATGTCATGTGTCGTACAACTGTTTCTAATTTCCCATTATTATTTAATGTTCATTTATTAATATTTGGAATCTAATTACGGCAGCTTATTTACAGTGGAAACTAGATCCTGACCCGCACGTACGTACGGGATTTCATATTTTAAAAAATATTTTCTAATAAATTTAATTTAATATAGATTATTTTGTTGTTTTATATGTATATATATATATATATACACATATTTAGATAAGACAATGAGAGAAAGTAGTGTCGTCCCGTCCCGTCCCGTCTCATTGTCTATCTTAAAAATTTTCGTCACATAACTGTTCCCTTTAAAATAATTACCAATATGAAAATGTTTAATTTAGTTCAACAGAGAAGAGAATGGGTAAGAGTCTAAGAGATTTAGATGGAATACCCGTATTTTCCGTACCGTCTCATTGTCTATCTTAAAAATTTTCGTCACATAACTGTTCCCTTTAAAATAATTACCAATATGAAAATGTTTAATTTAGTTCAACAGAGAAGAGAATGGGTAAGAGTCTAAGAGATTTAGATGGAATACCCGTATTTTCCGTATTTTTCCTTTCGGGATTTAATTTTTACAAAATAAATAGAATCTATAAAAAATGTTTTGTTTTCTCTAGTTGAAAATAGCTTCATGGTTATAAAGACTCAAACACAGAAAATAATAAAAACATCAAATACTAATCCAACTATTATTCTATTTGTTTTAATGATCTCTTTTCAAACTGTAGTAACATGATATTTTATGTTTGGATTATCTATTAATAAGTTCAAACATCGACATATGAACTATTTTTATCACTTTTTTAGTATTTCATTTGTGTATGTCAAACGTACGTATAACTTAATTATTTACGACTTACATTTGGAATAGTGGCCTAATGAATATTTGTGAGTCTAATTTTATATATTTATAGGGAAAGATGAGGTTAATGTGAAAAATTAGGTTTACCTACTTTGAATTTTTAAAAATAATTCAATATCTTAATTGATTATTTATTATTATTTCAAATTTTAAGTCAAATCTCTTGTTTAAATATTCTTGTTTAAATATTTTATATCTTTGAAACTAATGACAACATATTCATATTTTCTTTTATTAATATTATTTCTATCATCAATATATTGGTTTAAAGATATATTAAGAAATCAATTTTAGTATTAAAATCATATTAATAGAATATGGCTTTTGTTAAATTTCAAATCATTATTTAATTTTAAACAATGCTCTTAAAGAATTTTGAAAATAACGAATCCAATAATATATTTTTCCTAAATTAATTCAATTAATTCAAACTAATTAAATCAGTTTGAATTAATTATCTTGCCGATTAAATTTAACTTCCAATATTTTCTCAAACTATTAGTAACTTATGTTTTCCCTAAATCCTGATTTTTAGGCAATAGATTAGATTTTCGGATTTTATATATTTTAAGGTCATATATATAGTTTTTGTTATTTATTTGTAGTAAGATTTGGAAAAATTGAGATTTGGAAAGATTGAAAACTTTTAGTGATGTTTATTAGGTAATTTTATGGTATGATTTGCATAGTTTATTTTATATGAATTCTAATAATATAGGATTTTATATAAAAATTATTATTGGATTCATATAAAAATAATTTTTGATTTTTTAACCATGAGAATTCGTAATTTCTATGAATGGTTGTTTCTTTAATGATAATAAATTAATGATTGGATATGAGTTTTTATGGTTGCAAAATCTTGGAATTATTATAATTGTTATTAATGTCACTAATATGATTGCTATTTTTTTTTTCTTTTTTCAAATTAAAAAAATCTCAATGGCATCCAGTGTTCAAGAAAGCGCTAGGCGCTAAGCGGGCGGTGACCCAATGCCTAGCGCCTAGAGCGCCTAATCGGGGCCTAGGCGACTT